CCAGCAGCTCTGCCATCCAGCTGCCATGACTGTGTGGGGCTGCTCTGCAAGACCACCCCTGCCTCCCCCTCGGGTGCAGGCCGATCCCCGGGCCTGAGTCTAGAGCTAAGGGAAGGATGGAGCTGAAGCCAGCCCCTCTGGGGAGCAAGCAGGAGACCAACCTTCCTGGCCTCCAGCATGCGGACGAGCTGCATGGAGATCTGAGCGAAGGGCGGGCGCTCGTAGGGACGGTCTCGCCAGCACTGCTTCATCATCTCGTACCTAGGGGAGAGGGCGCAGCAGGACGTGGCGGGGGAGGTGGAGAGCTAAGGGAAGGATGGAGCTGAAGCCAGCCCCTCTGGGGAGCAAGCAGGAGACCAACCTTCCTGGCCTCCAGCATGCGGACGAGCTGCATGGAGATCTGAGCGAAGGGCGGGCGCTCGTAGGGACGGTCTCGCCAGCACTGCTTCATCATCTCGTACCTAGGGGAGAGGGCGCAGCAGGACGTGGCGGGGGAGGTGGCAGCCAGGGAGCCAGCAGACTGCCCTGCGCTGGATCATGGGAGGGGAGGTTGCCAGCTCTCCCGTCCCTACTGCACAGGGACCACATCATGGGACCCTGCAGCCCATCCCCAAGAGACCAAACAAGCAGGCCAGGGCTGCACAAAAAGGCCGCGGTTCCTGCGCGTGCCTGGTGGCCCAGGGTCAAAGCCGAGGCCCAGCCCGACGCCCCCACTTACACCTCGTCATCACAGTTGCGGGGCTTCTCCATCCGGTATCCCTGGGGCAGTTTCTCGTAGAGCTCGGCGCATGTCATCCCACAGTAGGGAGTTCCTCCTGGGGAGAGGGCAGCACACCCCGTGAGGACAGACCAACAGCCACCCTGGGCCAGACCAATGGCCCGTCTGCCGACAGTGGCTGTGCCGGGTGCTTCAGCGGGCCGGGCAGAACAGGGCAGCCCTCCCCGCGGCCAAGCCCAGCATCCGCAGTCAGAGGTCGAGGGGCTCCCGAGTGGGGGCCTGCGCCCGACCAGCCACTGGTGGGCCTGTCCTCCATGGACGTTATTTCTCATTCTGTTTTAGCTCAGTTTTCCTTTTGGCTTCCACAGCAGCCCGGGGGGCTGGGCACTGTGCGAGGGATCCTTAGCGCTGCTGGAAAGGGCTGCCGACCGGCATCCTGAGGTGACTTGTGTGGGGGCAGCAGTAAAGAGCACTTCCTTAGCCACGGTCTCTGCACCCGCCCCCTCTCCAGGCACCTCTCTTCCAAGCAGAACGGCCGGCCTTGCAGTCTCTCCTCAGGCGGCAGCCGTTCTGTTGCCTCTCTCTGACCTTGTCCCAGTTCCAAGAAGTCTTTTGTGAGACCCCTTCCCTAGAGGTGCTCCCAGTGTCAGGCTGTCCCTGACTAGCCACAGCGACCCCAGGACCTCTGGGGCGTGGAGCGGCTGCTTCGGCCCCGTCGTGTGGGGATACAGTGGGGACGATGGTTTCCCATGCGCATTAGTTTGCCTTTCTCTCCGTGGCATGCCCCCTCCCTCGTGCTGCCCAGTCGCCCAGTGCTGTGAGCGCCTTCTGAAGCGCTTTGCAGGCTGCTTTGGACGGGACTCCCTCGAGCAGCTTGCCACCTCGCTCGCTGCCCCTTTTGCTGCACCATTCCTGAACAGGCTGGATAGGGTCAGTCCAGCCCTTGGGCGTCCTCACTAGTCACCTCGCTCAGCGGTGAGAACCCAGCACCCATGTGGGGACACTGGGAGGCTGGTGGGGACCTGGCACCCTCCGAGGAGCGGAGCTAACGCCGTGGGGAGCCCTCGCGTGGCTGCCACCGGTGCCCCCAGGGCAGCGCTGCTGCACACTGCAGGAGGCAGACCGGAGAGAGCCCATGCAAGGTGCCATCTGCCCCTCCTGAGTCTGAGCCGGGGCAGCTCAGAGGTGTGGTCTGCTCGGAGCTGCAGGCCTGACTCCGGAGCAGGGCTGGGCAAGCGTTCTTTGCCAGGGGCTGCTTCAAACATTTTGCAAGTGGCCCCAGGCCACTCCGGAAGGGGCAGGGCCTCAAAAGGAGGGGCGGGGCCAGGATGCTTCGGGCTCCTCCCCCCCAGGGAACCATGATTGGTCTGGGTGTGGGGGAGCCCCTTTGCCCCCCTTCCCACTAAGCACCCATGCCCCTGGCAGGGCAGGAAGAGGCTTCGCACGCTCCCCCACCCCCACGCCAGTTAGGGCCTGGGGGTGGGGGAAGCGCACGAAGTTTCCTCGCCTCCCCCTCCCCGGCCAGGCGTGCACGGCGCTTCAGAGCACCACATGCTCCTGGCAGGGCGGAGGGAACCGTGCGCTTCCCTCTGCCCCCAGGCCCTGATTGGCAGGGGAGCAGCAGGACCCCCGTGGGCTGGATCCGCCTGCTTGGCGGGCTGGGGCTGGCCCACAGAGGCCCTTTTACCCACCCCTGCTCCAGAGGCAGGTCTTAACTGCAACAGGGTTTGAGCTGGCTGCAGCTGAGCCTTTGGGGCAGGGGTTGGTTATAAAGAGAGGGAGGCGGGTGATTAAGAACAACAAAAGTCCGGGCATTCCAGCCACGGAAGGGTCGTTAGATCCCCATGAAAACATTGCCAGGTTCTCCACTCCAATGTTGTGCTGCTGGGATCTGCATTTGGACCACTGCTGTTCAACTTACAGAGGTTCTTGAGAAAGGGGTGAACAGGGACTAATCCAAAGCTGACTGCAAAAGGCCAGACAGGATTTCACAAAACGTGATGGCTGGGCATCACAAAGGCAGACTGCATTTATCAGCACTGAATACTAGGTAATGCACATGGGAAAACAGAACCCTAACCTAGATACAAAACAGCTGCTACCACTCAAGAAAGAGGTCTTGGAACCACCGAAAACACCTGTTCAATGTGCAGTGGGAGTCTAAAAACTAACAAGCTAACAGAATATTGGGAATCCTTAGGATAGGAATAGCTAAGAAGACAACATACCATATTGCCTCTACATAAAGTCCCGGTATGCCCACACAGCAGATCTGATCATCCCATCTAAAAGGATATATTGCACTGGGAAAGGTACAGAAAGGGCAACAGAAATGATGAGGGGTAAGGAACAGCTTCCGTATGAGGAGAGATTAACAAGACTGGGACTTTTCAGCTTGGAAGAGAAATGACCAAAGGCTGGGGGAGATGTTAGATGTCTGGAAAATGATGAACGGTGTGGGAAATAGAATAAGGAAATGCTATTTATTCCTTCACTAACATAAGAAGCCGACCCAATTAAATTCATAGGCAGCAGATTTAAAAGAAAGAAGTTGTTTTTTTCACAAACCACTTGTGGAACTCTGCCAGGAGATGGCGGAAAGACCCAAACTGGAACAGGTGTTCCAATAAGAACAAAATAATCCAGGGAGAACAGGTCCACCAATAGCTACTAGCCAGAAAGGGCAGGGATGGTGTCCCTAGCTTCTCTTCGTCAGAAGCTGGGAATGGGCGATGGGAGGGATCACTGGATGGTTCCCTGTTCTGGTCACTCCCTCTGGGCACCTGGTGCTGGCCACTGTCGGAGTACAGGGTACTGGGCTGGATGGGCCTTTGGTCTGAGCCCGTCAGGCTGTTCTGATGTTCTTATGTAGAGCTGAAATGTATCTGCCACCTGGCTGTCACCTCCCCTTCCAGCGCTGAGAGAGAGCCCAGCAAGGGCCGTGCCCCCTGGCCCCAGCTACATGTTGCATTGGTCTAAAAAGTGCTACCAGACCATTGGTTGTTTTTTAAATGTATTCAATTATCTTTCTTTTAGATAGGAATTTGATACAGTGCTCCTGTCAGCCACCTGCTAAGTGGTCTGCCAAAAAAAGTAGTTTTCCACTGCCCTGGGATAGAGATGGGCTGGGCTGGGGGGGTGGAAGGTGGATGGGTTGGTTCTCCCCTCCCCATTTGGTGCTTGGCTTGAACTGAGCGGCTACATCTACACTGGCATGATTTTCCGGAAATGCTTTTAATGGAAAAGCTTTCCGTTAAAAGCATTTTCGGAAAAGCGCATCTAGATTGGCAGGATGCTTTTCTGCAAAAGCATTTTCTCCGGAAAAGCATCCGTGGCCAATCTAGACGCACTTTTCCGCAAAAAAGCCCCAATCGTCATTTTCGCGATCAGGGCTTTTTTGTGGAAAACAACTCTCTGCTGTCTACACTGGCCCTTTTCCAGAACAGTTTTCCGGAAAAAGACTTTTGCCTGAACGGGAGCAGCATAGATTTTCTGGAAAAGCACTGATGATTTTACATTAGATCGTCAGTGCTTTTCCGGAAATTCAAGTGGCCAGTGTAGACAGCTGGCAAGTTTTTCCGGAAAAGTGGCTGATTTTCTGGAATAACTTGCCAGTGTAGACACAGCCCTCATGTTCAGGGAAAGGAAGTTACTCACTTTGTGCAGTAACAACTGTTCTTCGAGGTGTGTCCCTGGGGGTGCTCCTCTGGTGGTGACGGGTCATCCCCAGAGCCGCAGATCGCAGCTTTTTCCCTAGCACTTTACTGTCGGGCTACGCATGCGCAGGAGGTGGCTCACACCATTGGCAGCTTGACAGCTGTCTCATGCACGGCCCGACCCCTCCCCTTCAATTCCTCGATTGTGCCAGAGTAGATGTAACTGCCAGCAGAGGGGGAGAGGGGAGGGTCGTGGAGCACCCACTGGGAGACATTCCTCGAAGAACAGTCATTACTGCATGAAGTGAGTAACTTCCTTTTCTTCTTCGGGGGTGTCCCCGTGGGTGCTCCACTGATGGTGACTACAGAGCAGTGCCCACTATGGATGGTGGGAACTGGAGTTACTGCCTAATGGGGGAGGATAAGACGGCTGTAGCCACCGCTGTATTGCCTGCTAGTTGCAGCATGATGGCACAATGCCTGGTGGAGGTCTGTTCAGATGACCAGGTGGCTGCCCAGTAGATGTCGCTCGAAGGGACACCGCTCAGGAAAGCAGTAGCTGTTGCCGTGGCACGGGTGGAAGTGCCCTCGGTAGAGCAGTCGAGGGCTTATTATGAAGATCGTGACAGTGGATGATATGGGACGCTATCAGTGTGGCGATGGGTGTACCCCTGGAATGGGTGGCAGCAGACAAAGAGGCGTGCCGTTCTGCGGAACGCCTGCGTCTGTCCATGTAGAATGCTAGAGTGCGACGACTGTCCAGCGTACGGAGCATCGCATCCCTAGGGGACGTAGGACGCTTTGGGGAGAAAATGGGCAGGACTATAGGCTCACTGATGTGGAATGAGGTGGTGACTTTATGGAGAAAGGAAAGGCGGACCAGCCATTAAGGTCCCTATCTGACTGGCCCTCCTTGCAGAGGTGACAGCTACCAAAACCGGCACCTTCACTGTGAGGAATGAAAGCGCACGTGGCCATAGGCTCCAATGGGGGTCTCATAAGGCAGTCTAGCACTAGACTGAGGTTCCATGAGGGAGCAGGCATTCTGTGGGGCGGATAAAGGTTCTGGGGACCCCTTAAAAACCTCTTGGTAATAGGATGGGCAAAAACTGATGAGCCGTCCACTTGTTCACGGAATGCAGCAATTGCTGCAAGGTGCACCCTGACCATGGAGACAGATAAGCCCCCTTCCTTAAGGTGAGACAGAACGGAAGGAAGTGGGGCATTCTGAGGGTCAAGGTGGATTTGCTGGCACCAGGATGTGAAGCGTCTCCATTTCTGAAGGTAAGTCTTTCTGGTAGATGGTCTCCTACTGTGGAGAAGAACAGACTTCACACGGGCAGAGCGGCAGGATTCATCTCCCTGGAGCCAGAGCGGAGCCAGGCATGGAGATGGAGGCTGTGTGGCTGGGGTTGCAGCAGTGTGCCGTGGTGTTGGGATA